GGTGGTTATCATTTACCAGGGCTGGATGCTGGGATTTGTTATTATTATTACACTTAATCCTCTTTTGTATAACTTGCCTTGATCCTGGAGGTATTTGAATTAGCATCTCCCGATATAGAGCAAATGTCAAAGCATCATCTCTAACCCTAACTTTCCTGCTGAACTCCCAACTACTTTTTTTTTTTTCAGTTGAGAACTGGACATTTTTGAAATATTTTTTCTGGTGTTTTTATCTCAACATGTAGGAATCAAGATACTTTTCTCCTTTCTCTACTTCTGATTTCGTTCTCTCTCTCAATAGCATTACCATTCTTTGTCTAGTCACCAGGCTCACAGTCTGACAGACATCTTTAACTGTACCCCTGCTAATCAATTGCCAAGGCCTAGAGCGTCTACATGTGCAACATCTCTCCTGTTTTCGCCTCTTGCCATGGGCAGTGTCCTCCCTCCCCCAGTCTTTCTGCCCCATCCTTTAAAAAACTTCAGTGGCTTCTCATTGCCTACAGCATTAATTAAAAATCTGTTATCCGGCATTCAAATCCCTACACCCTGGGACTTTTTAGGACAGTAACTCAGATCACTGGGGAGTTTGGTAAAAATTCAGATTAAGCAGCCTCTCCCTTGATATTCTAATTCGTAGTTTGAGATGGGATATGGGCCTGTTTGTAATGAGAATCCAGGCCATTCTGATGCAGTTGTCCATGGACCCCACTCAGCACACCTTGTCTCGGAGGCACTCTTAGAGCTCCAAACCCACCTGACATGTCTGCCCAGACACCACCATCTGTGTCAACCCCTCCCCCTGCTGCAGCACCTGGCTCATAACTGTTGGCTGAACTGGTGGTGGTCAGGCACACGCAAAGCGTGGCCTGTACCCCCAGCCAGGATTCTGAAGGCAGCCCCCTGCCACTTCAGAGAGACCTTCACTACGGGAAGCCTAGTTTATCCTTATTTATTTATTTATATATTTTTTGGCCTCACCACGCAGCATGTGGGATCTTGGTTCCCCGACCAGGGATCAAATCCGTGCCCCCTGCAGTGGAAGTGCAGAGTCTTAACCACTGGGCCGCCAGGGAAATCTCCCTCGGAGGCCTAGTTTAGAAGAGCAGACAGCAGTCCCTCTAAAGAGGAGGCTTCTTTCATCTTGAGACACATTCAGACATACTTGCTTTTGTTGGCCAACCTGGATTCTAATCCTGAATCTGCCACCTACTATCTATGACAAGGCAAATCTTTAATCTCTCTTATCCTCAATTTTTCTCATCTTTATAATGAGGACAATATGTTCTTCACATATTTATTGGGTAGATAAGTAGTAATATATAGAAAGAGCTTAGTGCAAAGCCTAAATATTACACATAAGTATAAGTAAACCACAGCTTGGTATTGCCAACAGTCAGAAGCAGCGTTTTCAGAAATCATCTACACAAATTTTTTAATTTTGCAGATGAAGAAAAGGAGGCTGTGAGATGGGAAAAGATGCCCAAAATCACACAGCTGTTTAGTGGCAAACCTCCGTCTCCCACCCCATCTAGTGCCCTTTCCATTTTTCCACATCCCGTCTTGTGACACAGGCTTCATTCACTCCCTCATTCATTTTTTCACTTACTCAGGGACTATTTATTGAGTTCCCTTGGTGCCAGGCTCTGGAGGAACAGTGGTGGGTTTTGGAGTGGCAGGTGTTGGAAGCTGAGGGCAGGATACGGTCAGGTGGAGTAGGAGGCTGAAAGCTCAGGAGGCAGAATGAATTCAGCTGCTCACACACATGTTGATGTTTCCTCAGGTGGAGGCAGGAGTTTGGGACAGAGAGAAAGACTGTGAGCCCTGCAGGGGCAAGACCTGGGGTCAGTGAGAAATAGTGACCAGGAGGGTCAAAGACGATGGTACAGCAGGACAAAATGAACTTCAGAGAAGGTGATGCGGAGTGACAGTCGGAAGAGGTAATGCAGAGCACGGAAGATGCTGCCCCACCACGTGAGCCTGAGGGGTGTGGGCTCTGACAGAGGAACAAGCTCCCCTTGAGACAGCCCCGTTTCAGCTAGGGTCAGGAGGCACAGAAAATGCTTGGATGGGCTTGAGGCTACAAGGGACTTTGTTGGACACAAGAGGGTTTGAGAGGGAGGTGGCGGGAGTTGGATTAGCAGACAGCGCTTACACAGAGGGTGGGGATGAGAGTGTTTGTCCTTTGGACGGCGACCAGTGTGAGGAGGAGTGAGGACTTAGACCTGGCTGGGCCTTGGGAGACAACTGAATTCAGGGTCTCAGGGCAAAGAGCCACAAAAACATGAGACACAGAGTGTTGGACAGGACAGGGAACTGCCACTTTTGCTCTCAGGGGTCAGCCAGGGGACCACAGGTGACCTCTGTGGCTTGGAGAGTTGACGCCTCCAGGTTCCTGGAATTGGGCTCTAAGGGCCTGCTTTGTGCTCTCCAAAGTCACCTCTCCATCCCCTTATATCATCCTGCACCACATTGGCTCATACAGGTTCACTCTCCTTCTGCTGGGAGGGAGCGCTGGAAAGTGTTATTAATTCATCAAACTTGTGACATATGCTGACAGTATGTCAGTTCCTATCTAGGGAGGAGATCTGCTCCCCAAAGATAGCTATTCCCTTGAGGGTTGCTTCTCAGCTGCTGTGCCCTACTGACCCACTAGAGGAATGCTCCGGTTTCCTTCCCTCCTTTACCAGCACGGGCCTGTGGTGAGGACAGAGCAAAGGAAGGCAGGATGGCTGAGGGTGTATGAGAGAGAGTGTGAATAAGGTGGGAGCTGGGGGAGAGAAGACATGTGGACAGATGGCTAGACCAGTATCTGGCTGGAAAGGTCCCCAGCGATGTGTTTTTGTTTCTGTGACTCCCTAGGTGTATCAGAGGAGCAAAAGGATGGAGACTATCTATTAAAAGTCTATTATCCTGGAGGGCCCCCCAGGAATGTGACCTCCCACACCTTCACCCTCTGGGCCTTCTCAAATAGTACTCGAAGGTGTGACTGAAAGTGCCAGAAACTCAACGGGGGAACACACGGACTTGGGGACAGCAGCAGATCTGAAGCTGAATTTATTGCCTCTTTCCCAAACTTAGAGGACAGACACATTGCAAACTCTCCTCATCCTCAGTCCCAGGGGCCCAGCATAAACCCCCTTCATCTCCAGACAGAAAACAAGAGAAGAGGCCCTGAGGCTGTTGGAGCTGCCCCAGATGTTGTTTTGGCAGAGCCTTAATGGGGCTGGGCCTCCTGGGGCTGGGTGTCTGGGGCAGGCAGGAAGCTGGCATCACAGCTGTGATAGCCAGAAACCCCCCCTGGGTAGCGGGCTAATGTGTGGAGAAAAACAGACTCAATAAAAAGGGACATGAGGAAGAATCTAAAGAGGTACTGCACGTGCTTTGTGACCACCTAGATGGGTGGGATAGGGAAGGTGGGAGGGAGGGAGACACAAGAGGCAGGAGAAATGGGAACATATGTATATGTATAACTGATTCACTTTGTGATGCAGCAGAAACTAACACACCATTGTAAAGCAACTATACTCCAATAAAGATGTAAAATAAATAAATAAACAAATAAATAAATAAAGAGGTACTGCAGCTTCCCCCTCTGGCCTCCTGGCTCTGGGCCCCAGGTATTTCTCAACTGCACCATGGCTCAGAGCCAGTGGAGGCCAAGCATTTGATACCTGTGGTTCAGAGGAGGGAGCCTGGTGGCTGGATTGGGAGTCACCTCCCTGAGTCACACTCTGCTTATCTATAACAAGAGAGTGTGGGCCAGGAGACCCACCCTGTCTCTTCCTTAATCTGTGTGAATCCCTATGTTGTAATATCAGTGAGAGGCCCGTGTGCTGAAAAAAAAAAAAAAAAAAAACCAAACTAACAAAAAAAACAAAAACGTATGTAAGTCCAGGAAGACCACCAACCACCCCACTCCAGCCTGGCCTGGCTTAGGAGGAGGGACTCTGCCTAAGAACTTAAACACACAGAAGCTTTGGGCCCATCTCACTGAATTTGTAGAGAGGCACAGAAGTGTGGGTAGGCGTTAGAAAGAGGTGACTTACTCTGCAAAAGAAAACAGGAAGAATCTGAAAGGCAAAGGGCTGAAATACACCGCTCACATAGCAAGAGCACTTCTAGATGGGCAAGATGATTCCTAAACCGATTTGACTTAAGAAAAATAGGAGCTCAGAGCTAGAGACATCCCCACTCCCAGAGGAATCTGGAATATTTTGAGGAGGGGCATTGGATTTCCCATAGTTCTTAGAATGAAGATTTTTTTTTTTTTCCTTCGGTACGCAGGCGTCTCACTGTTGTGGCCTCTCCCGTTGTGGAGCACAGGCTCCGGACGCGCAGGCTCAGCGGCCATGGCTCACGGGCCCAGCCGCTCCGCGGCATGTGGGATCTTCCCGGACGGGGGCACGAACCCGCGTCCCCTGCATTGGCAGGCGGACTCCCAACCACTGCGCCACCAGGGAAGCCCTAGAATGAAGCTTTGAACCAATCTTAGCCAGCACCTAAGGAGCAGTGGACCTCAGCTGACAGTTTACCAATTGGGAACATGGCCTTAGGTATCACCCTCAAGTGCCTTACCTTTAATGAGAGCAACCACCTCCAAAAGGAGGGTACCTGCCTCCTAGCAGGGTACCTTCCCTGGTAGCGCAGTGGTTAAGAATCTGCCTGCCAATACAGGGGACATGGGTTCAAGCCCTGGTCCGGGAAGATCCCATATGCCACAGAGCAGCTAATCACGTGCGCCACAACTGCTGAGCCTGCACTCTAGAGCCCGTGAGCCACAACTACTGAGCCCATGTGCCACAACTACTGAAGCCCACAGGTGCCTAGAGCCTGTGCTCCGAAACAAGAGAAGCCACCACAATGAGAAGCCCGTGCACTGCAAAGAACAGTAGCCCCTGCTCGCCGCAACTAGAGAAAGCCCACGTGCAGCAATGAAGACCCAACGCAGCCAAAATTAATTAATTAATTAATTTAAAAAAACACACAAAAAACCCCATATGTCTAATTAAAAAAAAAAAAAGTAGATTAGAAGAAACTCTATTTTCCCTCTATTGCATTAGTAAATACACAGAAGAGCAATGAAATAAATGGATTACTTCACACTACTGGTTCTTACACCCATGAACACGTATCAGAATTACTTGTGGAGGTTTTAAAAAATATTTAAGTCTAGGCCTCACTCAGCAGTTACAATGCGGGGCAGGACCCAGGTATTTTTTCCAAGCTCTTTGGATAGCTCTGATGAGTTTCCTGCTGGTTGAGTGTCTGATGTTAGGTTGACTGGGGTAGTTTGAGTTCTTTGGGCCACTCTTTGAGGGTACGGGGAGCTTTTTTCTCAGATTTACTAGCAGTAGTGAAGAACTTGCCCTCAGGCTTTTTAGGAGTCTGTCTTGGGTCTTTTTTCCCCAGCGAAGAGGTTCTTTCTTTCTCCAACTCTTCCTTGATTCTTCCCTGGGCCTTTACCTGGGGTCTTGGGCTCCGCATCTCTTGGGGCCTCCAAAGCTGGGGAGGCCTTTCTCTTCTTCCCATGAGGTGTGTACCAGGACTCTTCTTTGGAGACTTCTTTCCTGTGGCATCTTTTTGTGTCTCTACGCTTCCTGCAGCTGGAGTTTCCTTCACTGGCACCAGCAGTGGGATTTCATCTTCAAACTTGTCTTGAGCTTTAGTGGGGGCAGGTGCCCTCTACTAGAAAAAAGTAGAAGTAGATTGCCAGGGCACACTGTGCAATCTACTTCTCAACAACTCAGCACAGTTCTCCCTGGCAGGGAGTGGATTCTGTGGGGATCACTGAGACTGGAAGCAGAGAAAGAGGGGGAGGTGAATACTGCAGAGATTGGCCTTGTCTGACCCTCCCATGCCTCACTGCCATTTATATATGGGTCATAAATCAGTCACTTGACCCCAGGATCTGAACACCTTTTGTACTCCTTGTTTTATAGCGATCAAAGGAAGGAGACTTGGTGCCTGTCCTCAGGCATGGAGGGTGGAGGCTCTTCAGTCTAGTTTGAGAGAAATTGCTCCTGCCCTCAGGAAACTCCAAGCTGGGGACGAGGAGGAAGCACGCACACAGAGGACACACATGCAAAGCTGCCGGCAGACAGAGAAATGTGGGCAGATGAGCACTGAGAAAACACAGTCCGAAATTAATGAACAGGGTTGGAATGGGGGCACCAGCAGTTAGCTGGTGTCCAGTATGAAATAGCTTTTTGGGGCTGGGAGTCCTGAGCTGGATTTGGAGGTCTTATTAGCAGGGGCAGAAGACAGTCCAGTACTGTATGAGGTATTCACACAACTGCTCACCCGCTGTCTTTTGGCAATTCTGGTTTCCTTCCGTGGTTTAACTGGAAAGGCCATCTCAAGCATACTCACCACTTGCGTATTAGCAGCGGCCCCAAACAGCCCATGACAGCCTTGGAAGCACAGACGCATACATCGGATGACTTTGTGTACACGGCTTAAGCTTTTCCACAGGGCCAAGGGCATTCCCAGAGTGGTTAGGCAAGGCCCCAGAGACAGGTTCTGGAAGCCAAGTCAGCATCTGGGCCTCTGCTGCTCCCTTCCTCAGAAAGGGACCTGAACAAGGCTCCTCCAGGGTACAAAGTGACCACCGTAATTTTGCACAGCACTTCACAGCTTAAAAAGCGGCTTTACACGAACAAGTTGAACACCCATCTGATCCTCACAACCACTCCATCAGGCAAGAATCTTCTACACTTCACGGATAAGGTAAATGAGGCTGGAAGAGACTAAAAGGCTTGTTTAAGGTTGCCCAGCAGAGGCAAGCCTGTCCTTTCCACTACTCCACGCTGGCCTCTGCATCACAGCCTTCTGGCCGTGGACATTAGGGATCCAGAGCATTAAGGGACCATTGAGTGAATCTATTAAAGGCCAATTGTCATCTGCATTTCAATCTAGCGCTGAACACTTCAAGAGAAACACAAACAGGGAGGATGCCCGGAGAGAATGTCTTGGAAGGCTGCCCACCTGGGCTCTCCAGCTCTCTGGAGAAGATGGGAAAGCCACGTCCTTATCTCCAAACTGGCTCACATTTGCCCGGGCCTGGGAATCTTTTGGAAATTGAGAGCCTGGCCAAGAACAGCGGGTAGCTGTCGCCCTGCCTCCCGCCCCCGCGGACCCCTCCGGAGCCTGCGCCCATATAAGGGCAGCGCTTCCCGTCGGCCGGGTAGTGACGCGCCGCGGGCCACGTCAGAGGCCGGAGGGGAGGGGCGGCCCCGCGACAAGAAAACCAGTGACGCCGGTGGGGAGGGAGGAGGAGGGGCAGAGAGGAAAGGAGGAGGGGAGGGCGGGCTTAACCCCTGACGGGGCTGTCACCTCCGAGCCTCGTCCTTACGCTATGTGTAGAAACGTGGGTGCAACAGGGGGTTAGCGTGCGTGATCACTTTCTGTCCCCGTGTGGTAGCAGGTATTTGTATTCTGGGCGATCTTATCTTTGGACGCCCAAGTGTGTTTGCAGTCTATTTTGTCTCAAGGTGTCAAGGATGCGTATTTCACGTTACAGCCATGGTGTGTATTTTTACTTTGGAGACAGACGAGGAACTTTGCTGGGGGATGCTTGAAGAAAATCACATCTCTCCATTGTTTTCCTTGTTAAACAAACAAAAACACTCTTGGCACTTGTGCTTCCGGAGACCCCCAGAAAGTCTCACTAGAGGCGCTGCTGTAAGGGACTCGCTTCCCTTCTACTAAGCTGCCTCTCACCACTGCCCTAGCCAAGTCAAATAAAAAGGGGTCGGCCCTAGGGGCTGAAGGGGAAGAAGCCTAAAAAAGGAGGGTTTCAAGATGCCTAGTGCCCTGTAGAGGCCAGGAAACAGAAACAGAAGAGAAATTGCAACAAGAGAAGCTCAGGGCTCACATTTCAACCAGGCTTCTTCATGGAGTCTCCATTGGGGGCGGGTGTGGGGGGGGTTGTCTCATTTCTGAGTCCAGCTGTGCTGGGGTAAAGCCTGTTGGAGTGCGCCCCCCCAGGCCTACCTTGTCTCACCTGAAGTTGGGAGGGAAGGATGGGTGAGGGGAGCAATGGGTAGTAAACAAATTCTAAGATGAAGGGAGAGGGGGTACACTGCAGAGGGTGGGAGAGAAATAGGACATGGATGGGAAGAGTCAGAAACCCAGCCAGAGGCTCACAGCCTGTGGGGTGTTGGGGCACTTGGCTGCCCTGTCTGGGGGAGGAGTTCAGGCATAGGGGAAAGTCCCCAGGGCCTCCCAAACTGTCCCTTTGCACCCGCAGTGCTCACCCACCCACTCTCCCTACCCTACTTAAGACCCACTTCCTCTCTGTAGTTCCCCTGGTAGAGAATTGTCTGGTGAAAACCCTACCTCACACCAAGCTCTGGGCCCAGTCAAAGAGTGGGAATCACAGGTATGCGGAGAGATAGTGACCTACCTTGTCAGGGGATCTGCCCAGAATGTGGTCCCTTTGCCTTGTCTGCAGACATCTCCCCACCCCTGAGGCCTAGGCTTGTGGGGGGGTGGTGATGGTGGTGGGGAGTAAAAATGGTTTTAAGCCTGAGAATTTAAGAGGATGCAAAACAGAGGCCTTCCTTTTTCAGGGACCAGCGTTCTGGGGCCGGATGATGCCAAAGGTGTTGAGGAATAAAAATAATGGGGCAGCATTTGTGTCCCACCTTGGCCGTACTGCACAGTGGGTATGAGTGTGGCCCCTGCTACCCACTATGAGGTCTCAGGAAAGTCCCCAACCTCTCCGAACCTTAATCTCCTTGTCTGAAAAATAGAAACAAAAGTATTTATATTATTGGTTCTTCTGAGGGTTAAAAGAGATCGCTTCTAAAGCATTTTGTACATTAATCCCTTCCACAATATTTATGTATTTGGCACAAGGTAAACAGTAAATAGTAACTGTTATTACTATTAGAAGTAGTGGCAGTAATAGAAGTCCTCTCCAGGACACCACATGGAAAGTTAGCCAGCATTATCAGGTGTTCCAGGGTTGCCTTTGGGGGTCCCCTATCCCTCAGTTTTCTTCTCCCTCTGGTACCTCATCACCTCCACCACTTCCTCCTCCATCCTGATCCCAACCTGGCCTCGAAGAAAGGGCAGCGAGCACAGAAGCACAAGATAGGTGTTTCTGTCCTGGCTACACCCTTACTGGGGCCTCAAACTTCTTATCACTAAAATGGGGAGAATCCTTTCTGGCTGGCTTCCCTTTTTGTGGAAGTTAAGGGAATAAAAAGTTTGTGGAAAGACTGAAAACTGTCTCAGCCTCAGCTCCTATGCCTACCCCCACCCCCTGCCCTGCCCCGCCACCTTTGCTTACAGCTCTGTTGATGGCTTTCCTTTAATCTAGTAATTCTCCTTTTCCCCTCAGGGAGGAAAATATGTCCTTTTTCATTTCATTTCATGACTGCAGTGCGAAGCCCAGGACAGGGCATGCAGTTGGAGCTCAATAAAAGCTAGTTCCCTTTTGTCTATCTTAGTGATGGGACCAGAGGAGGTGGCCCCAGTAGAATTTGGGGAAGCAGTCTCCATCCTCTGGGAGGTTGACAAAGAGAGGAGGGCAGAAGGAAGGGAACCAAGTCCTGGCACTGCTCAGACTCAAGGATTTCTGCTGTTCCCATCACAGAAAGCCCGACATCACCCCCATCTCCTCAGCGTGACGTTGTGCTGACTGTTTACTCTAGGTTCCCAGGGCTGGGAGAAACCTCTGCAAGCCTCTACCCCCTGCTGCTCCACTCCTCCCAGGAGGAGAGCAACTGTTCCGGCTAACAGGGAAGTCCTTTGGTAACTAGTTCCACTTCCTCACAGCTAGAGCTCTAAACTCCGCCCCCCCATCCCCCTGCCCCCAACACCCACACACAACCCATTTCCTCTCCTGCTGATTTGTGGAAACAAAGAACCCTTGTCCTCTCTTTGGTTTAAAAATAAGACACTTGTTTATCTTACCCTTACCTCTGGCCACAAAAGACCTGGGCTCAGTCTGACTTCCCTCGGGCTAGGCCCCCACTCCTGGGCACAGGGCAGCAGCCCCTAGGCCAGCCATAGCCCCACCCCTCTCTCTGGGGCGTTGAGCCACACCCACTCTGGCTGGGCAGCCTGGTCCCAGCGCTGCCCCTGAGTACCCCTGGCTGCTGTCCAGGCAGCAGCCCTCCTCAGTGTGGCCCCCCTGCACACTCACTTTTTACCACTATGACCCTGCATCTGCAGTGGGCCTTGCCCAAGGTTGGGAGGAAGCTGCCTCTGTAGAAGTCAAGGTTTCCTGCTCCGTGAGATTTTGCCTGACTTCCCCAGGCAAACTGCCACGTAAGGGAAATAACTTGAGTCAGAAACCACTTGAGTTCACGGCCACTCAGAAACTTCTCTGAGCCTCAGTTTCCTCATCTGAGAAGTGAGGGTGGGGGAGCCTGCTTACGGAGTGGCCGTCAGGATCAAGTGAGATGTGGTTGTGAAGGTGCGCTGTAAACAGTGCGACCGTGCGCGCCGTTACTTCTACCTACCGCCGCACAGAGCCCAGGTCACCACCGGCAGCCATCTCCACAAGGCAGATGCCTTCCTCAGACGTCACATCAAGCCTCCCCTCCTTGGGCAGCTGAGCGCATCCCACTGTGTCCTCAGCGCTTACTTACCCAAACTGTACCACAGAGAGCAGCACCTGTTGCTTGCAGGTGTGGGAAATACCCTCAAGTTCTTTTCCATGGTTTCTGTGCTTGTCTTATCTGCTTCTGCCCCCTTCTCAGCATCATGAGAACTTAAGCTCATTCTCTCTTGATCCACAGCCGGTACCTCTCTGTTCCCCCACAGCATAGAGTAACAAGTATACTGAATGGAAGCGTGGATTTGGGAGAGGGCACACAGCCAGATGGCTTCTTAGGGTAAAACTTTATTTTTAACACATAGGTCTTCATAGACAACTCACTCTCTGGCTGTAGAGGGGTTTTGTGTATTTTCCTCTTATGAATCAAGCTAATTTGGGATCCACTGGGCATTCAAAAAGGCAGCTGCTTGCAGGAGGAGCCCAGAAAACCGAGCAGAGTCAAGCCCTGAGGAGATGGAACCGGGGAGTCCCTTTACTTTAGAGAATAAAGGTCTCATGGTTCCAGCTCTGCAGACTGTCCCTCCCAGCCCTTCTCACCTCTCACAGGTGTGGCAGAGGGCAAGCACACCCAGGAGCTTCCCGTCTGAAAGCTGGCTGGCACTGGCATCAGTGAGCTGCCCCTAGTTGCTGAGGCAGATGAGCCGCTGAGGTGTGAATCCCTGGCCAAATAAATTCCCTGCTGCCCCAGGGAGCAGAAGGTTCTAGAAGGCAACAGGATAGCGTTATCCCTGGCTTATCAAGCAGACCTAGAACTGGGATGGAGAGGGGTTTTGAATCTCCCTCCAAAGGTCCAGAGAAATTTCCACGGGGTCAGTCATTGTAACAAGGGTTCCTTCTCACCCAGCAAGCTCCCCAGAGCGGTGTTCTCTAATAGAGTCAGAGCTGTGTAACGAGGGGTCGGGGTTCAGGCTGCTGTGTCGAACTGCTTGGGTTCAAACCTTAGCTTGAGCAAGTAACCTAATATTCTCTGCCTCAACTTCCTCATCTGTAAAGTGGGAATTACAAGAGTTTCTATCATATAGGATTGCTTGTGACTAATGAGGTAACGGGTACATAACACTTGGGGCTCAATGAATACTGTTATTATGAGAAAGGATCTTACTTAAGAAGCCTTCTAATCTATTTCTCTGCTGTTATGAAATGAAGTTCTCCAAACAACAATTATATGCCAGACATTGAGCTGGGCAATGGAAAATCAGTGGTGCTTGAGACAGCAGTTTTCAAGATGCTTCCAGACTGGTGGGGTAAGACAGACAAGCAAACTGTAATGAGACCAGGGTTTCTGGGTCAGGGAAAATATCCCACCAGGCCAGAGAGGGTGTCCCTGGGGAGATTTCTTCCCTGGGGAGAAACTCATCTACCTCCAGGAGGAAGGGGAAGGCGGATTAACCTTTAGTAATGACCTCTTTTGGCCAAACTCTGTGCTAGATATCTTATATATGCTATTTCATTTCACCCTTATAACGATCTTTAGAGTAAGTATTAAGCCCATTTTATAGATG